ACAGTAGAAACTATTATAGATGCCTTGGAACGATTAGATGTTGGACCTATCCCATTGCCAGAATTAGAACCTGGTTCGGTTGTTGAAGAAGATCGGCTATCCGGAGGAGATAGGCCTCCAGTTCCCGACATTGGGGAAGATGGGGATTGCTTACCATCTAACAAAGGGTTGCCAACAGTAACAAGTTTCACAGTGCTACTGAATTGTGGCACAGGAGGGGAGATATTGTTCCCACTGAAATCCAACAATGTAAGAGACTTTAAACCAGTCCAATTTGAGGGAATTGAACCACTCAAGTTGTTGTTCTGAAGTCGAATCTCGGCGAGCGAAATCAAATTAGCAAGTGAAGGACTCAAGGTCCCATTCAAACTGAACTTTGGTAAGTTAATGACAGAGACATCCCCAGATCTGCAGTTCAATCCCAGCCATGGTCCTTGACATGGATCATTTCCAGTCCAAGCAGAGACAAGTCTTAAGGGGTAACCCATGGCGCCAAGAAACTCAATCAGCGCCATGACTTGAGGGGCACAAGCAACCCCTGCCTGAGTTTGACAGAACAGGTTTGAAGAATAACTCACTTTCGATGCTTTAAACTTTGGGATTGGACCCATGAATTTGTTGTTGTTCAAATCCAAATGGCTTAAACTCATATCACCTAAGCTCTTGGGAATCAAACCAACAAATTCATTACCATTCAGATTCAGATCCTGCAGAAGACTCAAATCCCCAATGTTATCTGGAATAGTCCCTGAGAATTGATTCCCATGGAGCCACAAGCTATTCAACGAGGTCATCGTCGTCACCACATCAATAGAACCAGTCATTCCACCTCCCACTTGATTATTCAACCAAAGTCTCGTCAATATCATACCCTTAAAACTCCCCGGAATTCCACCGGTGAGTCTATTGTCAGAAAGCGATAACACAGATAAAGAGGACATAGACCCAAGAAAGTCCGGCAAGGGACCAACCAAATTACAACTCATACAAGTAAGATTCGTCAACTGAGCTGAACTGCTCAACGCCGGTGGAAACATCCACCCAGAACTACCGTTTAAATTATTCCCATCGAGAGCAAGAACTTCTAAACTATTGAGGCCAGTGAAAAAATCAGCCGGAACTGAAGTGAAATTGTTGTAATTAAGGAACGCGTACCGGAGATTCTTCAGGCCACTCAACGACGGCAAGGGACCGGAGAATTCATTATTCTGAAGACCGATATTGGAGAGCATAGAAAGCTGGTTGAAATTCTGCGGCAAAGGGCCCTTCAGTCCAAAACCTTGGACCTGAATTTGGGAAACCCTCGAACCATCGCAGAACACAGAAGGCCATTTGTTGCCACATGGGTCGTTATCATTGGGCGGCCATTTCAAGAGCTCTGGATTTTCCAACCCTTTTCTAAACTCATTGAGAATAGCAAGATCATTGGGGTCGGTAGCTCCAAACCCCACAGAAATTACAGCAAGAAGAAGTACTAGAACGAGCTCTGTTTTGAAGTCTTCCATGGCAGATCTGTGAAGCAATACCAAGCTCCGAAAAGGAACATCTGGGGCCGAATGCTTTCCGAGAACAGCCTTCACATCGCCATTTCTGGCGGTTACTCACAACACCCAAATGAAACCCCGCACTGAAGAGCAAGATAATCACAGAATTTGGGGGTAACAAACAGCCCCAATTCGAAGAACAGTCCAGGCAAGTGAAGAGCAAAATGGTGAATTAACAGTTCCAAAAACAAACAGCTAAATCGCTCTGTCTTCTAAACGGAGAAACGATGAAGAGATCGAGCTTTGGCTGAAGTTGAGAACGAGAAACGTGGATCCGGAACGACAGCTCTCAGGACAGGATGGAAATGTGGGAAATTCAGATCGGAAACTGAAGAAAACAAAAGAACAGAGAGAAAAAAGAAAGAAGAAGAAAAAAAAAAAAAAAAGAGGACCCCGAGAGAGAAATTATTGGAGAGTGTGTCCCTTGTGAGGGAATTTATGCTTTGGTCGATGGTTTCTGGAAGTGGGGAATGCCACGCGCCTTCTTCTTTTTCCTTCTTATTCTTTCTCCCCTTCTTCCATTTATCTTTGACGGCATTTTGAAAGAAGCGAAGGGCATTATTGTCTTCTCACGTTTGGCGGTATCCCGGCGCCATCCAAGGAACATAACCAAGATAATAACAATTACCATATTTGACTATTTTACTTCTCATAAATTACTTTATTACCAAATATGGTTGTTTTACATCCCATAAATTATTTATAATAATATTACATACAAATTAAAAATATATAATTCAATTAGTTAAAATATTATATTATCTTTTATAAAATGTATCTATTAGGCGACTAAAAAAGATATTAAGAATATTTAATTATTGAAAGTTGAATCTGGACTAATATACCATTTGATAAGTGGTTATTTAATTTTTTTTCTTTTTAATAAACTTGAATAATTTTTCTTTGCTTAATTTTAGCAATAGTCAATTAAATAATTAAACATTTTCGATTTGGTACATCAATTATGCGACACAAAAAAAACAATAAAAGAAAAGGGGGCCAATGATTAATGAGATAAAAAAAGAAATGGGTTTTTAATAATTACTAAGTTCTGAATTTGGTATGTTATTTAGTGCCTAAGTCATTTTCAACACAAAAAAAAAAAACAATTTTTGGTTTATTACATTTTAAAACAATTTAAGAGTCAACTTTTTTTTTTTTTTATCTACAGCACTTAATTTGATATATATATATTTAAAATAATTGAAATCTTGTTCGTGTGTTTTTTTAACAATTTTGTTGGAGGAAAGTGTCTCAGGTTAATTTAGGAGAGGGTCATGAGTTTATAATCACTGTCTATTAGAATGAGATCTTTATACTCAAAGTAAACAATATCGTACCAATGTGGAGAGTCGTGTTTAAACCTAAATTCTAATAATTAAAATGGGAGGAAAAAGAATGCATGTTGCACCTAACTTTTAACTGTCTCAAAAGAATGGTTCGCATCTTTTGATGAAACACCAAAAGACATCACCTTTCAAAACAAAGTCCTTTATAAAATTTCTAGGATAAGGAGTCCGTAGAATTGACCGCATGCGATAATTACCCTCTTAAAAAAAATAAAAAGAATGATAATTGCACTTGGGGACATTTCCGTAAATTCATGCCGGCGCCTTAAACGTAGCTACATTTTGGGAGAAAATTGCGGGACCGTTCGGGTTGAATTTAACCCACGTCCACACGTCCACGTCACTCCGGCCGCCGGCGACCTTTTTCTTACGTTTTGACCCGATATTCTTTTTTAATTTACCCATAAAACCATTTTTATTCTCCAAATTTTAAATTTATACGTAATAAATTCTTTAAAATTTCGTAAATTAATTATTAAATTAAACTTTGACTCCAATTTCATCATAATATTTGAACTTTATGTCTAATCAAAATTAAATTAGTGAAACACAAAATTAAAAAAAAATTAAAAATTGGGTAGCTTCCCATTTTTAAAATCTAGAAATATATTAAAGGGATGGATTAATTCAATCATTTTATTTAAATATTATAGCCTGCCCACTACCCATATAATTTCATTAGCTTCAATTATATTAATATTGTTTTGAAATTTGAAAAAATATATTTATTTTGAAATCTTTTCTATGATACGTGAGCACATGGAGTTTTATGGAGAAGTATTTGCTTAAACAATTATAATTTATGTATTAATTGTTAAAAAAAAATGTTATAATTTTAATTATAAACATTTTGAATAATAGCAAGTCACGGACTATTTTATGAAAGTAGACAATTCCAGGTCAACTCTATTTGATTCTTTTTTTCATTTCCAACATGATTTTAGTCTTCAAATTTATATTATAATTTGGCATTATAACTGAATTGTAATATATGAGGAAAGTACAAATTAAATATATAGAATAGGAAGGTTAAAATAGGAGGGTAATATGGTAATTATAGTCTAAATTTGATTTTAAAATGGGAAATTATTGAGAATAAAGTTTGGGAAGGCTTTTTATTTGATACGCTGAACACACAGACAAAAATGGGGTCCAAATCTTATACCTTCCTTTTTGTTTGTATTTTAATTAATTTTTCTATTTCCCAAATTATTATGAATGTATAATTAAATTTAGGGTAAAAGGAATAAAAAAGAATTATTAGAAAGAATTGTGTTTGAAAAATGAAGATCGGTGGCAACCATGATTATGTCCACAATGAATGGCCCAAATTTTAGGATCCATTGGTTTTGAATGGAAAGCAAAGCAAATAAACGTGTCTATTCACCCCGAAAACGCTAATTTCAATAAACCCACTCAATAACGCGTAAATGTGCATTTCTTTTTAGTATCTTATTTATTGAACTATACTCGTAGTAATTACATGCGCCTAGATAATGGTATCGCTGCCCAATGCCAACCAATGAAACAAAGTGATTCCTCTTCCCCCAAGGAAATCCCAATAATACCCACAACAAAACTAAATTGCTCCATCATTTTGATTTTGAAGGGATGGAGAGAATATATTTATTGATAAAAAAAATGGGAATTATGGGAAGCAGAGGAGAGAAGAAGAGATGGGTTGAAGCCCACATCTGGTTGTTTTTGATGGCCCATCTAACCAAACTGCCTTGCTGTCTAGGCTTTCCTTGTTGCTTTGAGGTACTCAATGGACAGATACCTCTCATGCTGTCTGCTGCATTTCCATCATCAATGTTTTGGTTGTTTTACCCATTTGAGTATGGGGGCAGGGAGACCATTCCATGTGCTCTCTCTCTCCCCCTTCTCTCTTACCTTTCAACTCTCCGTCCACATTATCAAACCGTAGATATTGTCATGTTTGAGCTTTTCCTTTCAATTTTCTAAAGAGAGGTTTCCACACTCTTGTAAAGAATGTTTCGTTCTCCTCTCCAACCAACGTGCAATCTCACAGACAAAATGCATCATTATGATCAAAACAATCTTATGATAAAATGACCAATATGAGATCCATATATTTGATCGAAAATTCCACAATAGTACCTCCTTAAACACTGAAGTTCTAAGCAGTTCAACAGTTATGTTCTTTTAAACCAGACAACAACAACAGATGGTGGTAGTTTAATTATCTGTCTGTGAGCAGGTGAGACACCGGCGCCATTGCAGGTAAGATCTGCGGTTCCACCACCTGGATGAGCCCGGTAGCCAGCCTTTGTGTCAAATCCTCCACAGCTATCTTCATCACATCCTTCCTCATCCCAATATCAGCAGCATATCTACTGGCACAGTACACCCCAACAGCTGTTGCAGCCATTCCATAGACATTGGTTGTCACAAGACGCAGCGGTGTCGAAAGAACAGCTGCCAGAGGTCCTCCTATGATTGAAACTGCTTGCCCACTTTGTCCCATGGTCCTCTGATCAACCACAAGTAGTCCAGTTTTGCAGTATATTGCAAAGTCTTCACAGTTGTTCTTGAATACATTATAGCATCCAAACCCATTGTCGAGTAGATATTTCGCTCGATGAACCACAAGATCATCTGAATCAGAGCTAGCAAGGGTGCAAGTTCCACCTCGAGCTTTCGCAAGAAAGAGAGCAGGACTGACAGCATACTCAAAACGATACAACACTCCACCAGCAAGAAAACAGTTCAAACATGAAAACAGAACCCCATTTCCTTCTTCTACAGGAATGCAAGTAGCGCACGGTACAAAGGATCGAGCAGGTCCTGAACTTACCAGTAAGACATCAAGCACGGTCCCCGTTCCTACTTCTTGACCCCTTCTGGTAAAGTGAATAACTCTGTCATCTCCAACATAGATCCCTGAATTGTTCCCATCAGCGACATAGATTGGAGAAAAGAACCAGAAGTGACACTAAGTAATGTTCGTTTCGAAATGAAACTAGTATTAATACAATTCACTCTCATCATACATATATGATAATTGTAGCATAAATGGCATATTCTGCTACAGGTTGAGAACATAACATGTCAGTTTATCCAATAGAGATCCATAAATGGACCACGTCGATAGAGGGTATTTTGAGTTCAACCTTAGAAACCCATAAGTTCTTATGAAACAAAATTTTGAAGAAACAGACCAAGGCATAACTTATCTTTCCCTACAACTTCTAACCGGACCTTCCATAATAGTATAATTTTGTCCACTTAGAGCATAAACTCCACGTGGCAAACTTAGAGCATAAACTCCACGTGGCTTTGCTTTTGGGTTCGCCAAGAGGTCTCGTACCAATGGAGATATATTACTTACTTATAAACTCATGATCATCCCCTTAATTAGCCAAGGTGGGACTCTCACTTAACAATCTTCAACCAACTCAACATCAGAAGAATCAAATGTCAGGCTCATATAAAGCAGTCTCATATGTATCAAACAATCCCTATGACTAAATCAGATGTTAACAAAAGCATACTCCAATTCTTCTGCTCTCACATAAAAAGATTTCCTCAAGCACTTAATCAACCCTTTCAAACTACCCAGAAGGCCAGAAGAAGAGTTGGGGCATATTTAATTCTAATCGAATCATCTCGAAAACTACAGGGCATACAAATAATTTCTCATGGAGAAAAAAGGAAAAGAAAAAAAATGAAGGAAAGAGCGAGAACCATGATGGGCATAGATATAAGCAGCCCTCCAAGAGTAGATATGATCACCCGGTTTCAAGCTTTCCCGATTGACTCTGCAAGCAAACCAAAGGATTTTTCATTTAGGCGAAAAGGGCATTGAAATTGGTTAAAATTAAGGGTACCCAATAGATTAAAACATGTAATAAAACTGAAGAACAGAGAAAATTGGTAGATCAAATACCTGTTGGAAAGAAGCCCCATAGCTCTCCCTTTGTTTGCACCCTTCGGCGATTATGGGAACTGGGCCTTTCTCCCTAAAACCGAAATTTCAGAAATGGGTTAGCCGGATTGTAAGCGAGAAGCGTAAAGGAAAAGGAATAGAGAGAAACTTACGATTGTGCCCTCCAGCATGGGCTCGGTCTCGGTGGCCGCACTGTGAAAGCCGCGTGGTATCAGTGTGTGTCGGTATTGTTGCGCCCTAAAGAAGAAAGCGCTTTGACGAAGGTTTCCTTGGATTGTGTCGGTTGATCAAGTGATAAGCTTATGATTAACTGCCCTAAACAAAATCCAAGCCGGTTTCGAATCTCACGTCTGTTCATCCACGAATCCAGTTGAAACCTCATTCATAATCATCTTATTATTTTGACTTTCTTTACAAAGATTACTTCATAAAATCTTATATAAACATTTTTTTTTGTTTTTGAAATTAGTATTTGTTGTCTTACCCTTCCTTTACAGTAATTTTTATACTTCAACATTTAAACTCCTAATAAATAAATAGAGTAAAAATAACCATAAATTACTAACAAATGATATAAATTGAAGAAATGATGGTTCACATTAGAGTAACAACTTTATCCTTGGTGAAAGCAGGACACAACCTAATAAAGAACTCTGCTTTACCTCCAAAGTTCCTTTTTTTTTTCTTTTCCCCTACCAACAAATGTTCAATCTTAACAAAACAAGATTAAGAACGAAAGAAGGGAATCAAAAACCAAAACCCCATGAGCAAAAAAGAAAAAAAAAACTCTTTTTTTTTTTATTATTTACAGATCCGTGTTCATGTTGGCAACGAAGTGGTGCCGGAAGAGCCCTTCTTTTCAGTTAAATCCCCATCCTCTGTTCCTCTCACTGAAATAACATGGGGTTGTTCATCTTCAGCTTCAACTAATGGGTTTATGGTTCCTTTGTGAAGCAACTGAGGCTTCTCTGGTGAAACCGTTGCTTCAATGCTCTTGAAGTGGGCTTTTAGAGAGAGTTCGACCACTGCCTCCGACAAGTCTTCTACTGATTTAACTATCTCGATCAATATGGAAGCCACTGTCGCGTCTGGAATTATTTCTAGAAGGTTTGTGGTTTGTGCTGTGCCTAATTTTAGGGAGTCCTTTAGATCGTTCATGGCGGATTTGGCGGCGTTTAGATGCACTTGGGATGAGGATGATGGATTTGTCATCGCCTTCATTCCTGTGGCTAAGGCTTTTAGGGCCTTTCCTGATTCTGAACTTAATGTCTTGCATGGAACTTCGATCATTCTTCGCAATTGAGATGGGTCCTGTGTCTGTGATACAATATAAATTTCAGAGTTAGTTAGCAATGTGAAATTACATTCTTTAATGAACTACTAAATCTAAAGGCTTAACCCCATAGATTCAAGTATTTTCATTTTTATACATATATTTTAGCTCCTTTATTTACTAGCCTCGGTTCCAACGGCTAGGAATCACGAACATTCATAATAGTATGATATTGTTCACCTTAAACATAAGCTCTAGTGACTTGTTTTTTGTTTTCCCAAAAAATTTCATACCACTGGAGATGTATTTCTTAGTTAGAGGTGGGATTGTCCACCAACAATCCTCGACCATTATACCATCTATGGAGCGTTGGAATACCATCCTCAACCATTATACCATCTATGGAGCTTTGGAATAGTCTTTCTTTAATTGAGGATTGACTCATTTTCTCTGGACCCATCGAACAAAGTACGCCATTTGTTCGAAACTGGAGTCACTTTTTTACTACACTTTCAAGACTCGCAACTTATTTGTTAAGATCTTATTAGCGTGATTAAGTTAAGGGCATGACTTTGATATCATGTTAGGAATCACGGACCTCTACAACGGCATGATATTGTCCACTTTGAGCATAAGCTCTCATGAATTTGCTTTTGGCCTCCCCAAAATGCCTCATACCATAGCGTTTCTTATTTATAAATTCATGATCATCCTCTTAATTAGTTGGGGTGGAACTCCTCCACGACAATAAGTGGGTTATTATGCAAAACAAAGTAGAAACTTAGAGTAGAAATTTGAAGACAAAAACTTGAGAAGAAAGATGGGATAGTTACTTGGAGTTGAGGGCAAAGGTGGCGATTGAGAGCTTCGATCTGGTAGGCACACTGTCGAGTGAGGGATCCAATTTTCAAGTAGTGTTTCCATGGATGACGAAACCTAAACTTTCCATGTTTTGGTTCCCATCTTGCAAAGTTTGCCTGTCAGACATCAATATAAACCCTTAATGTCCAAGCAATTACAAAAGTTAGTGCCTTTCATGCTACCTACTGCCAAAGAAACAAGAGAGAGAGAGAGAGAGAGAGAGAGAGAGAGAGAGAGAAAAATAACCCACCATGGAATCTTCCATGCTTTTAGAATTAAGCACAGCTTTGTATCCTTCAACAAAGGATTTACCTTTTTCAGTAGCAACACCATGTTCTCCATCTTCACAACAGTAAAAATATTCCCCACCAAACCCTGTAAAAATTCAACCTTTATTACTCGTACTCCTCTTACAATATTATGTCAAACAACTGCAACATTTTCTAACCTTCTAGGTAATCCGCTAGCTTGTTTATATTAGAAGTAACCGAATTGTGAAGAGTTTCACCAGCCCAAACAGGGCAAACCAAAATGGAGATCATAATGCAGATTGCTCCACCAACAAGAATGGTGGACAGTCTCTGATGAGCCAATGTCAAGAATTCATCGATCCGATACCCCGAAATCGAAACCAAACTGAAAGTCAATATGAATATCAACACTCCATAATCATATCTCGCTTTGATTCCCGGGAAGAACCTTGAAAATGTGGCTGATGCAGCTGCAACCCAAATCCAATCACAAATTTGCCTCAAAAAAAACAAAAAAACAAAAAAACAAAAAGTTACCTATAAGAAAAACAAAGATGCCCAAAACAAAGGGTTCTCCTTTTTGTCCAGAGAGATTGGCCAAATAGTTAACTCCCACTCCTAAAGAGCCAGCAAGCAGTGTACCTAAACCTCTATTCAAGCCTTTACTAAGCGTTCCCCCTGAAAAACACATCATAATAAATAAACTAAACAAAAAAAGCTTCAAACTTTAAGCAACAATATTCCCAATTTGATCAAAACAGAAACTACACTAACCTACGGTGAATTCAAAGATGACCACAACGGTCATAACAGCCCAAATCCCAGAGGCACCAAAGCCATCATAGAGAGGCTTCCAATAGTAAAACAATGAGACCAAAGTTAGAGCCACTCCAACTTTAATGGAGTGAACAATTCTTCTTGGGTCATCCTGTCCAAGTTTCTTGATTTTCATGGCTATCTCCATGGCTTTGTTCTTCACTACCTGAATCCCCATAGCCAAAGCCTTGAAAATTGAGAGACAAATGAAGGAGGGGTGTGGTTGGGAGAGAGGAGTGTTGGGGTATTTATAAGTGAAAAGGGTTTAAAAAGGGTTGAAGTTGAAAAGAATATTGAGATTGGACATCATGTGTTGTGTTGTGTTGCGTTGTGTTGGTGTCTTTTTGTGTGTCATACGGACAAAGATTTTGTGTTTGGGACAGAGAGAGAATGAAAGAAGTAGGAAAGAGACATATGCTGACTCGTCATTCGGCTGTGTTTTATTTTATTCATCTCTGAAAAAAACAGGCAGCGCCATTTTCGAAGTGAAAGCAAAAAAAGGTACGGAACCGAACTATCTCCATTTGCACCAAAAAAGGAAGGGATTAAACAATTTAAGGTTTTGGAGGTTCACAAATAATAATAATAATGCTATTGTTATGTATGTGTATGTCACTTTATTCTTTTGTTTGTAAACCATTATAGCCATTAATTTATGGTAGAGCACTACCACACGGATATGCGTTTCCAGCTTTTTGTATAACCTTATCACTCTATCATACATATTTTATACATCACACATCCTATATCGGTTGGAGGGGGAATGAAACACTCATGGTAAGTGTGGCAATCTCTATTTAACAGACGCGTTTTAAAATTGTGAGACTGACGATAATGTATATCGGGCCTAAGTGGACAACGTCTGCTAGTAGTGAGTTTTGATTGTTACAAATGGTATTTGAGCAAGATACTAGACGGTGTGCAATGAAGACGTTGGCCCCCAGAGGAGTGGATTGTGAGATCCTACGTTGGTTGGAGAGGAAACAAAACCACTCCTTCTAAGGGTGTGGAAACTTCTTCCTAACAAACGCGTTTTGAAATCGTGAGGATGACGACGATATGTAACGGGCTAAAGTAAACAATATCTACTAGCGGTGAGTTTGAGCTATTACAAATGGTATCAGAGCCAGATACTGAGCAGTGTGTCAGCGAGAACACTAGCCCTCAAGGGGAGAGGATTGTGAGATCCCGCATCGATCGGAGAGGGAAGGAATCACTTGAGGCAAGACACATTATCAGTCCACCACACAACCTAAAAATGTAAGACAATGGGTTAGTGGGTGTTTACTATTAATATTCTTCTCTCGTGGGTGTAAAAATTTGCACAAAAGTCTATCATGCAGTTGTCAATATTAAACTTTATTAAGCTCTAATACAAAACCTTATGTTTAAGCAATTATAGTATATCTAATTTTTGATCAAAACTCTAACAAATTAAGGCATTTATGAGTAAGAAGTGAGTGAAGTTAATCCAAATAATGGTTTTGCTATTTAGAAAATGTGAAGGAGAGATAGGGGTAGAGATTATAGCTTGTAGGGCAGGTGCATGCTGAAGCATTAGGTCAATTTCCAGGAAAGTGTGTAGCTATTATATAAGTTGAGCCTAACGCGCAATCTTTAGGCCATAAAGATGCAGGGAAGTTTCTCAAGTTTTGATTGTGATACAGCTCTAAAACTTGAATATTGTTTTCAATTAACTTGAGAAAGACAGAAAAAGAGCTGTAATCCACCATTATTTGGTTGATTTTGATTCATGGAACTAAAATGGAAAGGATAAACAAATATTCCAAACAACAACTGTTTTCATTTTTCACTCCTCTAATGTAAGTTGACTTGACTTTGTTGATATATATGTATATGTATATAACCCACATGAAAATTAACCGACTCTAGTGTTTTTCTTGTCTTTGATGTTGTTACCAACGATAACAAGTGTGGGAAAGGTCTAGACGTCGACAACATTGAAGACCGACAACGAGCATCACAACTCCTTTGGCGGCCATAAACAAAAATAAGTCATAGCTAGTGTGTTATGCAAAAAGAATTACGAATGGACAGTTGTTGTGTCTGTCATGTCCTCAACGTAGTCATATTAATAGAATCTTCAAATGTGTGACAAAAAAAGTTATAAACCTCGAACGTGTAGTCAAA